AAAAAAAAAAAAAAAAAAAGATAAAAAACATGCCAATATGGGATTCAGACCGATAACAACATGTGACATAACAGGCATATACACACCACACGTAAACAGAGATCATTTCTATATCGTATTCACACGAAAATTACAATATTAAATCACAACCCATGCTTTTGGCACAATGTATACGCATTATAAGACTACCCATAAATATGAACATAAACCTGTACGCTGATTGTTGACGTCCTATTCATGTCGTTGTCGTCACGAATGTTAAATTCTCTTTCTACCCGGTGGGAAGCATCTTCCACGCATAAGTCTGCATCCACATATCCTCGCCCGAAGGCTCCAGCTACAATCTCATCTCGTTCTCTAGCCTTCAATAATTCGTTGTTCCATGCTTTAAAAATCGGGAATATTCTTGCAACATTCCTGATTGACAACACCACCTTATCGACATAGAACAACTACATATCACACAGGAAAAAAAAAAAAGGTTATAAGGAAACACTCTACAATACAATGTGCGGAACACAAAGCACGAAACACTAAAAAAAATATCGCACAAAGAAAACATGTAGATGGTTCTGATGCACTTACCGTCAGAAATAGAAGAGGCCCCGTGAAGTTCTTACGTCCCCGATTATCATTCCAAGATTTTTTCGAGCTCACCAGACAACGGATCATGTAGGAGCACCAGTTCATATTCATTATATTCGATAAATCACTGAGCAAATGTATTATACGCAAATTTGCCATCCCATTGCTAGTGCTCTCGAATAAGCAAGTCACCATAAGGACAACAAAATTGCGTTTGAACCAGTCATCACTTCCATGGCAATTCTGAATCATGTCTAACACTCTTGAGGCTGTAATCTTTGTCGGCTTACTGACATTATATAACCTCACCCATTCCTTCAACAACTCCGACTCTGTTTTTTTATTTTTATTTGTGACCTCAATCGTTCCGCGGGGCAGTCCTAGTGCAGCATATACATCTTCTTCTTTCACATGAATCTTCTCCCCATCGTATAGTTTCAACTTCCGATCCATGTGGTTGAAGCTATCAACCAGCCAGTACCCCATTTTTGCTGGTGTCGTAGTTATTGTCAACTCCAACAAACGACCGAATCCCATATCACGGACTGCCTCTTTCTGATCGTCGGTCAAACCAGACACAGCCTTCACGAAAATGGCTGATGATGATCTTGTGTTGATGCTCGGAAGGACATCGCCATCATCGCTACCGATAACCGGTACTGCACCAGTAGCTTCCAACGCAAGTGTTGCAGCTGTTTTGATATAAACATAGCATCACTATAATAATATCTGATAATAACGCACTCAAAACACGAATGATGTAAGTGAGTATACCATTTTGGGTCATCGTATTCTTATATCGTTTCAGCTGAGGTGCAACATCAACGAAATCATTGTTTTCAGGCAGACTACTTAGATTTGCACGTTTACTGCATTCGTCAGCTCGTTTTAGTTCATAGACCTTCCGTTTGATTGCTGCAAAGATAACACGTAATGAAATGAAAATGACATATGTAAAAATAGCAGGAACCATATGATAATAAACATGATTGAACGTACCACCCTGTGCCGCCATAATTTTATCACGCTTCAATTCAGATGTATCATCAACTAAATCATCGCTGCCCGCGGTCACAACTGTTTTTCCACGGTTTACAAGATCTTCAGCGTGTGTTGGCTCATCTCCCATCTGTTTGTTAGCTGCAAGATAACAACAGTAAATGGATTAACCGAACATTGCGTAAGCCACTCCTTTAAATATGACTAATCTACAGATGTATACCTTCATGCGCATGTTTGACGCTTTGTGATGAATGACTCGGCTGAGATTCATTCAACCCCGAACGTCTACGTGTAACTGGACAAAATACACGAAAAATCAAGAACACGATAATAAAAACAGAATAAAAATCGAAAAAGGATACTGTGACTGCATGTACCTTTCCAACCACCACGCGGTTGGTCTGTCGAGCCTCCGTCGACAACACGTTCATCTGCAAAGGCAAAATTACAACAAGCAAAATGGGTTTGAAAAATCAAGAGCGATACACTCATCAAAACACCACATCAATTGAATTCTAACATATTTTCTATAATTACCCAAATTCGCAATAGACCAACATTAAATGCAATTTTGCAACAATCATACAGTAATTAATTAAAAAACCTAGCACCATTTCAACATTGATTCTACAAAAAACACGAAGATCGCGAACTCTAAATTTGTATTCTTTTCTAGATTTCTTTTTTTTATGGTTTACCATCAGCAATAGAACAAAAAACATCGCTTCTAAAAACTGAAAAATCTGTAACACTGACGATAATCTTACCGTTTTTCCTCGGTTGAGGAGAGTTCACCATTTTTTTTTTTCTTTGAATCAGTTTGTACGACTACAAGATCCACAGCGTTGTCGTTAACAGCTCGACGAATATCTATAAGGTAGAGAAAAAAATAACGGGGGCGAAATCAACTCAATAAATCCCCCATCTCGCCGTTGATAGAGAGATTTTTCAAAGAACATAAATTCGCGAAAGTAAATTCCAATATGCCATTAATGTGTCTGATCGCATTTACCCTAAGCTATAAAAAGACGCATGTGCCCTTCCATGTAAAAAACTGGGCGTAAAGATGCACAGAATTACAAAAATGCCACCCCGTAGCAATTGCTGGACAGGTTCATCTCAAGCGTTAATTTGCACGATCTAATGGTGTGTAAATCATTCTCATTTCTTTCACTATCCCCTATTCGCATATGATCCTATCTCTCTCTATATATATATATATATAGAGTTAGGATCACATGAGAATGATACTCTAGGAAAGAAATAAGAATAAATATGTGCCATTGATCTCAACATATTAATGGACATGATGAAGTCAAATTTTATTATGGATGAGTCAATCATTAATGACAATATTGTAAATAATCATATTCAACATGGTCTTTAATACTTGACCACTAAATAAGGATATGTAAGACATTTCACATATAAAGTGGGCCCACCACTTTTTCCCCTCTTCATCACAAATAAACACAAACGTGCACACACACTATTTACACACACTAGAAATGCTCCCCTACCCACGGTGGGCACATGTTAATATGTCCACCGTGTAGGTGGCATGCACTCATTGGTTATGTTAATATTTTTAAAAAATACATCACCAATGAGTGCATGCCACCTACGCGGTGGGCATATTAACATGTGCCCACCGTGGGTAGGTGAGTATTTCTCTTACACACACAGGCCCGTCAGCCTCTCGCCGCCCAGCCCTCTAAACGCGCCGCCGGCCCGCCGTCCGACCTTCTAAGCGTCGTCGCTCGGCCTTCTAAGCGCTGCCGATCGGCCGTCAAAGCGTCGCCGCCGGTCATCAAAACGCCGTCGAACGGCATTTGAAGAGTCGCCGCCCCACAGTCAACGCACCGCAACCCGACCGTCAAACCACCGCCGCCTCTAGCATCGCCGGCGATATGACAACACATCCGAGAGATCCCAGTACCATCGTCACCTACCAGGCTAGCGCCCGTCAACAAATCAACCACCACTGCTTCCAACAGTCCCGCCACCAAAGTCGCAGCTCGTCGCCACCATCAGATGCTTCCGGCACGTCGCTATTGCCACCACTAATTCCCCAACAGCACTGTCACCACCTCACTAAATTGACCTGCCACCACTGCCACGACCACTTTGTCCTGCAACTCGGAGAAACGCCACCGCTCCGGGGCACCGACTTCACCATCTGAACCTCCATTCCCCAAGCCGACGGAAAGGACGAGGACGGCGGCGGATTTGGTCGGAAGATACTACAGGGATGGGCATATATCGGTTTCCAGAATATGAGTTTTAATTTGTGGGTCTTGTTTTGGAAATTAGAGTAATATGAGGGATCTTTTTGCAATTTTTTAAATCTAATACATTGCACATGTAATTGGGATTCTGGATTTTAATTTGTGGTTTTATTTTTGGAAATGAGAGAAATATGGGGTATCTATTTGGATTTTTTTTTTTTTTTTTTTAATTCTTATATGTTGCACATGTAATTGGTAAACCTGACCAATATATGCACAATAACATTACATTCAATGCACAATATTGCCCGGAAATATGCATATTAAAAATTTTGTTATATTGTTATGTAATTACATAATTATTACCGTTTATACGTTTAAAAGATCATACATTTGCCAAAATTTAACCGCGCTTAGAGTCTTTCATTGGCTAGTTTGGTCGAGCCGACTAACCAAAATAACAAAATTAAAATAACCGAGTCGAACCTTTGAAAACAAACGAACAAAAATAAATATGACATTGAACACACGTAACTGAAATTTTAAAAATAAAAATAGATAATCGAATTGTCATTAATTAGCTGAACTATAAATATTGGACGATTAGTTTTAGTCGATAATGTGCAGTCTGTAAGTCATTAGTGTGCAATTCATCTAACACTATTGTGCACTGACTCAATTGATATTGTGTAGTTCGAATCGGCCAAACTTTTATCCCGCATCGGATTGAAATCGAACTGAATTACTTTGTTTGTTCGGGCAGATAATCGAAACATCTTAATAATTGAAATCATATATTATTTATGTTAAATATATATTTAGTGTTTTAATAAATTTACTTAATAGTTTTATATTATTTTTTGGTTGCGAATACATAATACAGACAATACCAATATTGATAATGTGCATTCACACAAACACAACTGTGCATTTAGTTTAACAGTATGTGCAAATATATTGAGCGCGTATTTTCTATGTTTTATACTATATGTTTTAATTAACATTAATGTGCATTATATAATAAAAAATAAATTTATGATTTATATTTTGTTAAATTTAAAATATATTTATTATTTATATTTTCATTTAATATTTATAGTTGTGTTTGTTGGAATATAAAAATTATATATAGATAAAATACAAAAAAAAAATATTATTTTAATATAAGTTGGTCGATTCTGTTATTTTTTTGTGGATAAAGATAAAATCATACCGAAATAACTCAGATTTTAATATTTGTGAAAATTCACACTGGTATGATGATGTTCATTATCGTACAAATTAACGTACATTGACATAATAATATTGTGCAGCTTATTAGTCACTATTGTGCGTAGAAACATTGTGCATTATACGGTATGAGCTTTTTTCATATGCAGCAAATCAAAACTTAAACAAATCTATCTAAATAAAAAAAGTAATTTATTATTTATAATATATTTATTTATTATTCAATATTCTTTTATTCTTGTATAGTATTTGTATATCAATATAATATTTTATATCATTTTTATTTACAATTTTTATTTATTATTTTAGTATATATTTACTAAAAAATGTTTAATAATAATGTTTTATAAACTCTTAAAATTTATATATTTAGCCCAAGGACTAAATTGAAATACTATCAATATTTTTAAAATTACAAATAGGATCACTTATGTTTTTATAAGTTATATATTTGGACTGACTTGTAATATCACATGCACTAAAGTACAATTTGTATAACAATATGGTGCAATTTGTATAATGATATTTTTAATTTGTATATTGATATTTTTAATGTGCAATCCCGAACACGATATGGTGCATGCACTTTATATTAATGTGCAATTATTAAATTTTATTAAATTGTATATTTTACACATTAAATTAATTGTAATATATTAAAAATTTATTAAATTGCAATTAGGTCCTAAAATTTATCAAATTTTTAAATGAAACCCCTAGGTAAAAATGCAATATTTCGTCTCACTTCCCGATTCTCGGTTGTTGTCAACACTAGAGGAGGATAAAGGACGCAACCATCAATCCTCTCCGATCAAATTCTGATCGAACTTTCAATTTCAATCGTCGTTCACAAATTCCCGACGGAGCAATTGTCAATCTTTATCGAACTTCGATTGAATCTAGTCTTCTACCCAGCCTTATCGATGTAATTGAGTAGGTGCTTTGCTTTCAAGCATCCAAGGAAGTCCACGGGTCTCAATTCGTCCTCAACGAAGAAAAATTGTTGCTGTCGGAAAAAGAAGAAGGTCGACAGTGGGCTGGAATTTTGGCGCGAGGTTGGAGGAGCAAATGAGGGAAATCGGGCGGCTGGCGGCGGTTGGAGAGACGTAGACGGCTATTTCGACCGGCGGGGCGTGGGCGGCGGTCATGGTGGGGCGGCGGCGGCGGCGGCGGCGGTGGCGGTGAGCATAGTGGATGTGGAGATGGTGGCAGATGTCCGTAGTGTTTGCTGGTGTTGTTGGTTTGTGTGAGAGGGGATATGGTGCGTGGGTGGGATTTGGTGGGGTGGGGCCAGGGATGGATGGGGATTGTGTGTACTGTCCATAATGCCCCTAATCAATGTAAAATTGGCGTGCGTCTTTTGCCGTCGGATTATCCCATCTTGTGGCCACAATGTATTCTTATTTCTTTCCCAGAGCACCATTCTCACCGGAGCGCGACCCTATATATATATATATATATATATATATTTACAATTTAATAAGTTAATAAACATTTATTTACCTTTTAATATAAATTTAAATTTAAATATATTTGATATATATAAATTCAAATATATTTAACTTTTATCATTATTATATATTTCAAAATGTTAATTACAATACAATATTCTTTATTTCAAATATTTTTAATTAGATTAAAATATATATTTATAAATAATTATTTAATTTTATTATAATTATAGTGGTTGATAAAAAAATAAAAATACAACTGTAAAAGTTAATAAATTTTTTAAGAATAAAAAAAATAATATCAACTATTTTGATCATATATATATATAACTCAATACTTATTGGTCATTTTATCAACATTTTACATATAAAATAATAATTATTATAATTTTTCATTACTCATAGTGAGCATATAAAGCTAAAAATAATTTTCCCGCCATTTTTTTGTTTATTTTCCCGTCTATATATTACAAGAGTGTTGTCTATAAATAGACTTATGGAAATTTTTCCGCATTTTTTTTATTTCTTTTTATAGTAATTTTTTTTCCTAAACTTTACAGGAAAAACAAAAGAATATATTACAGCTAACAATATGTTGGGATCTGTAAGGATCTCGTTATGTACAAATCACGAGTTCAATAGCAAACGTAGACCTAACACTGTCAAAACGGGTCATGGCCCGCGGGCTGGCCCCTCCGTCCGCCTAAATAGAAGGCTTGGGCCTTTGCTTGGCCAGCCCGTTCAATCGCGGGCCTAGTTGGCCCGCCCCGTTTGGCCCGCGGTCTAAAGCGGGCAGGGGCGGGCTGGCCGGCGGTTCAGCCCGTTTTTTATTTATTTATTTGTTATTTTTATATTATTTAAATTTAGTATTTCTTATTTTACTTCTATA